TTACATTGATGGATAATATTAAAATGGAAACAATGATTAACCTGAATTCACCTAAGTAAATATTTTTAAATAAGCTGCATTAAAAATTGTATAATTCACAGGGAACTATATTCAATGGCTTGTTGCAACCTGTAATAAAAAGAAATATGAAAAAGAATATATACATAGAACTGAATCAGTATGCTATACACCAGAAACTAATACAATATTGTAAATCAACTATACTTCAATTTTTTAAATTTTTTAAAAATTATATAGCTCATCAGACTCTCAAAGATGTAATTTAAATATTTGAACTAATTTTTCAAATTGCTTATTTAAAACAAAAAGTTTGCTCTGCCATCCAGTTGAGTAGATATTTTCATTGTATTTCCTATAATTTATCCTCTCTGTGAAATGAGATTACAAAGCCACTTAAAGACTATCTGTGTCCTGCTTCAATCTGCATGATGCTGACACTCTGATAATATTTAACAATAAAGGGATTTAAACCACAGAAACAAGCAGAGAGGACTAACTAGCATTTAAACTAGAACAATTTTCCCAAAAGGCATTCAGCAGAAAATTAGTGCATGAGAATGGTTGAAGAAAAAAGGTGGAGTGGGCGGAAGGAGGATGGGATAAATTGGTGGCTTCAACTGAAGTGCACAAGATACAACAAAAATTCCAAAGCAACATTGTAGACCAGGATGCAGTTTCAATAAAAATAATCAGGAATCAATTTTAGGACTTCAAAATACCCTTACCAATAAGAGAGATTTTTCTGCATGTCATCAATTCTAAGACTCACTGCTTTTACCTTTTAACATTTCTGAAATTACATATGCCTTACATTTGATTTCATATCATAATGCTCGACTTTTTTTTTTCTTAGTGGTCCATAAAATAAATGGTGCATTTACAATAGACAGTGGTAGCCAGCATCCAAGATGGCTCCCAGTGATCCCTACCTCCTGGAATTCAGAGCCTTGGATAGAACCCTCCCGCACTGTCCCAGGGTTGTCTATGTAATCAATAAAATATAGCAAAAGTGACAGAATGTCAGTTCCAAGATTAGGTTATAAAAGACACTGTTGTTTTTGTCTTTGTATCTCTCTCTCATATCGCTCACTTTGGACTTTGAGGAAGTCAGCTGCTATGTCATGAACAACTCTATGGAGACTCCACATGGCAAGGAACTGAGGCTTTTTGTTAACACCCAGCAAAGAACTGAAGCCTCTTGACAATAAAATCATGAGTAAGCCATCTTAGAAGCAGATCTTCCAGCCCCAGAGAAAGTGTCAGGTAACTGCTGCCTGGCTGACACCTTCACTATCACCTCAAGACAGACCCTGAACTAGAATCACCTTATGTTGCTCCA